GCGTAGTAGTTGTGAATTCAAACTTCAAATAAATCCATCAAGAATTAGTGTCAGTCAAAGTAGCAATCATGTACTCCCCTATCATCTCTTAGATATGAGAACTAGGTCCTTGTTGATCATGCACTGACACCACATGATCATCTGTGTTTTCCATTGTATTTTCTTGTGGTAGTAAAGGATTAGCTCAGGGACATGAGTTCCTTTCATTGCTGGATTAGCAGGCATTCCAGTACTCAACTGATATTACCTGGGGTTAAGAAATTAAAGTGCCATACTAAAGAATATACTGTTCATCAAACATCAGCCATTTTCTTGTCAGAAATGAGACTTTTGGCATAAAGACCCTGTCAATAATAGTACTGGCAGTCTGAGCACTTGCAGCAAGACAAAGCGGTAGCAGAATGAATCACTGAGTGTCCAGTGACTTTGTAGGTGAGCTGTAGAGGAGTGTTGTTTACCAAAACATTTGTGTTACAACATTGCTTTTCCTGCCCTAACCCTCTAGGTTGCACCATATGTAAAATCATACCTACCTATGATATATGCCATGTTTCTCCTTTCTTTCCAGCAAGATGCTGATTGGAGGAATGACGTAGACCTGAATTAGCTAGATATATGTGGGGTTTATTTTCTTTTCATTGAGTTTTCAACATGTGATACAAAATTTATGAAGAATCTGTTAAAGCAAGAGCAGAAACAAGCTTCCCCCACCAAAATTACACTAAAGATAAACTGGAAATAATAATAATTTAAAAAAAATCAGTTAAATGTGTTTGATCCTTGAAAAAGAACAAAGACTTGGAAATGTGTGGGCCCTTTTAATCTTAAGGGTTATTCCAGCATGCATCTACATCATGCATACCTACTGAAATACTGCAGCGGTTTATGGTAGTGATATTGTTAAGATTATATTCTGTCTATAGAGAATCTTTCTGCAATGCAACAAAGCTCATGAAAATAACAGCGTGGATATAAGGTTTGTGTTGGCATTTCTACAGGAATATGGCTTTTTTGGGGGGGTGAATGTACTCCCTCTACAATGACTTAACTAAAACCAGGATGCCTGAAAGCAGATTCTGACATACCATATTACACACCATTGGCTGGATTTCTCATGGGAAAAATAGCGAAGCCTTGATAGATCAGTTTTTTATGTTTCCAAAAAATCCAGACAGGGAACCGATATATGAAAATCCACGCAAAAAATGTAGGCCTGATGTGACACACCGCGTGCTGAACCAGTCATAGTAGGGTTGTGAATGTTGTTTCCAGTTGCCAGAACTGTGCATGCACATTGGATTCATGGACTTTTGATGTGGTGGTACTTGGCTCTCATCATATGGTATCACGGTGTCTCTAAATAACCTACTACTACTTCAAAATATTTACATACTGTGCAACTGAAGACTGCTAACAATCAGGTAGTACTTTCTGTCTGGAACCATGTTCAGTAAAACTTAACTGGATGAAATATACTGGTACAAATACAGGACACTGCCATTTGTCCTCTAGGATTAAGTATGTCATGTCTATAATCATGGCACAATTGTTTATGCAATTCATTAACCAGGTGGGGTGAGAAACCTTTCTGAACTATGAAGATAGTTGTCTTAATTACACTAGGAACACAACCAATATCTCTTTATGCTTCCCTAGCACCTGAGGGTCTTTCTTAGAACTTCTCTCAAATAAAAAATTATTGCGTTTCTATTATTCATCTTGCTTTGGTTTGATGCTTAACTTGGTGGAATTATTCAGGACTGACAAAAGACTAACTGAAACCAGAACATGGTTCAAGAAACAAAATATATCTTTGTTATGCATTTGGCAGTTTACTTCTAACACTATGAAGTAAATAATGATTATGATGACTGTTAGGAGGAAATATGAAAGTTGCTTTAAGCTCTCAGGAAAAACCCCAAAAGAATCATAAAATTAAAATGCACCTTTAAAAGAGTGGCTTTCACTGCCTTTTGAATTCCTACCTCATTAATAATATTTTTGATGAATCTAGCCCCATTCATTTCAGCCATATGGAGAAGTTTCTATTGAAAACATCAGTAAAAGTAAGATGAAATTATTGTTCTCTCAGAATCTGACATGTTTTGAGCCGTTCAGTCTGAAATGGGATGAGCAGCATGCAGGCAGCTTTGAGGAGGAGCTAAACGTGTGAAGAAATGCCTGTTAGGCATGAGACTGGTAATGAATGACCGAACATACGTGTTGATAAAATTGAAGTTTATAGTCACTAAAGCATTTGACTGCCACAGAAAATTGTTAGGAAACAGCTACATGCTTCCAAGTTTTTGTCAGCGAAAAGGCAAAGGCTATTGTATATAATGATCCTCAGGTTATTTAGAGAGAAACTCAGAATTTTTATGGGAGTAAAGCACTCATTATTGTGATGCAAATTATACAAATTATTTTTTGTTTTTTTTTTAAAAGCAAGTCTTACATTCTCTAGTGGCTGCAGTATATTAATTAATCATTGGCTCCCCAGTAGTGAACTCTTCTGTTGTGCTCCTGCCACAGCTCACAGCTAACTTCAGTAGTGGTAATTTTTAATAATGAATGTGCAGTAGTAACAATATATAATTAATCTTTGAATTAAAGCACATCCCAAGGCTTTTAAAGTCAAATACAGGTTTAAGTGATTTGCAGAACCATGACCATAATATCTACAAAATAAAACTGGAGGTAGATTTTCCTAACAACAACGACGAAAAAAACCCAACGCATTAAGAGGACCTGAACAAAAACATATACCATACATATAAGAAAATATATCCTACTCAAAGTCAATAGCAAGTTATGGGGTCTTTTATTTTCTTTTTTTTTTGATGGTGAAGAACCTGGCTAAAGGATTATTCCAAAAAGTGGAAGGCTGATACTAGAATAAATCTTAATCACTGCTGCAGATACCATGTGATACAGCTTTCAGAAATAGTCTGAACATCTTTCTCAACCACAACTACTCTGTCTCATGAAGTAAAGGCAAAGTATTTACATATGTTGTGGAATAAAAATCTGGATGGAGAATTTGGTCTAATGGAATGAAGTTTCATACTTTGAAATAGCAAAATAGGAAGTGAAAAATGCTTAATATGGACCACAATCTAAATGCCACAGAGATTTCAATATGGTGACATAACCATACTATGATATGTCTTCTTCCTTCATTACAACAGCTGTCCTTTTACAGGATACGTATGTACAAATATTAAGTATGTCTGGTGTCTATCTGCAGATTTATTAATTTCATTTCTTTTTATCATGTCAGCGTGACTTTCCTGTTGTTGAATCTGTTTGGATAAACAACACTCCATAATGCGTACATAAATGCAAGATCAATTTATACACACCCATTAATAAAGTTGCAAAAAAATATGAAAAATAATGGCAGCAAATGAAACAAAAAATATGATGTTTTCTCTTGGTTTTGGTGGCTAACTATACACATAGGAAAAATATCAGTAAAACCCAGTCACCATATTGATCAAAAATGAAAAGGATGTTTCATAATCTAGTTAAATCACTGGAGTCTATGGCATGCTTTGCTTCATATGTGAAAGATGTGCAGCAGATACTAAACATGCATGTAGCAGGTTGTAATCAGAACTAGCTCTGCACATCTTTGGTATTAATTACAATCTAAGATTCAGTGGATGTCTTCCCAGCAGCACATACATGGGAAATATTCATGCAAGCCCTAGGCAACCATGCATACAATTAACCTATTCATTACACTTTGTCCTGAGATATAATTCTGAGATATATGTGCCTGCAGAATGAATTTAAAGCTCTATTTTTGTCTGTGGAGCAAGCTTCAGGGGCAGTACTTTCAGTAAGTGAATGTCTGACTATAGGCATGAAAAAGTGATGCATAAGATATTACCATTTTGAAATGTGGAAATGTAAACAAGGCAGTAGGCAACTCGAGGATATATTTTCCTCTGAAAATTGTCATTTAGGTGGATGATGTCATTATACTATGAGTGTGGTTACTGAGGGTAAAGGTGACCATTGAATAGTGTTCTAAGGAAGTACTATTAAATATGCATCTCCTATTTTACCCTGACATCTTTTACTTTTATTTAAGGTTTATATGACTTGCCTTTTTTTCACCAGGAATCCAGTGATAAAACAAAAATTCTTACCTATATTTGTGAGTGCTAGAAAACACTAGCGTTCACAAAAAAAAAAAAAGCAAATGTTCATGGTGTTTAGGCTGAAAAGCCAAGAAAAATGTGCTGCCACATGTCCTAGTTATTAAAAACAATTATATAATTTTTGTATGGAGAATGACCACATGAACTTAAACTGGGGATGATGACCATTTCAAATGGCCAGCATCTGACTTCTAATGAGGTGGAAACTAAAAAAAACTGGCTTTAAAAAAACTGTAAATCACAAAGTTTTAAAACTTCTAAAGGAAATTTTTAGGAATCGTTGTGCATTTTTAAGCCATCCTAGGTATGGGGAGAATCGTTTAGCTTAAGTGGAATGCACTCATGGTTACAAAGAACATGAGCAAAAACGATTTTAGGAGATCTTCCTAAATTAGATTTCAATACTAAGTTAATGAAATCTTTCTGCCAAATCTCATTGTTTTCAATGAACTTTGGACCATGTCCCTGGAATGTATGAAGCACAGCAGACTGCCCCATGCGTATGATCATATTTATACCTGATCAGTATCTTAAATTCCAGATAACTGACCTGTAAAGATTTGATTTTGTGTTTTGGTTTTTGTTTTTTAATCTTATATTTATGCTTATTTTCTAGGCCTTTAAAAAAAAAAGGCTAAAACTACCATTAAAATGCACTTCAGTGGCATTTGGATTTAAAAAAAAAGTAAAAATCAACCAAAGAAATTTAATAATACTGTAACTCTTTTTTGAAAATCAAATTAGTTCAACTAAGTTGTCTTTTTGACTTTGTCTTTTTTTCCTATGTGTATATTAGAAAACTAAATTGATTACTGCTTTATTTGTACTTACAAGTAAATGCTGGATTCATTGCCCCCAATATCAGGTGACTGGAGTTTCTGCACAAGTATCACAATTATGCCAATAAAAAGAACAAAGTTTATCTAGGGAAAAAGAAAGGAAAAAATGATGACAATTATATATTTTTTTTAAGTATGAGAATGAGACATTCCCAGTGACTTGCTGGCTCCACTGCCTTATACAAACTGCAGTCTAGAAGTTCTGTAGGGTCAGGGGTACTGGGATAAATTTACAAGGGTCTTTTGGCCACTTGCAGCAGCTTGCAGAATTTCTTCAGTCCCCAGCACCAGATTAGATAATCATAAGCAAAAATGTTTCAACATTTGTCATTATCAACCAGTTCAAAGAATAAAAGATCTCTGCATATCAAAACCATATAGTAAAATTCTCAGCAGTAAAATCATCTTTAACTCTCATCCTCTGAACTAAGGCACTTCTCAGTTTAGCAGTATCCATTAGTCACAATTTAGTGTCTCCCCTTTCCTGAAATTCCCAAGTTGTGTCACTTTCCCTCTGCTTGACTGAATCTGGGCCAAGATGAGACAACCTCTAATGATTGTGGGAGGGGAGCTAGGGGCTGGGAGACATGGGTGCAAATGTTCATCTTCATGTCTTTTATGTTATCCTGGGATTCTTCTCTTTTATCAAATCATGCAATTACAGATATAGTTTTAAAAATTTGTGGATTAATAAAACTGTTTTACTTTAATACTTTGGCTACAGATTTGGCTGTGACCAACTCCATAGCTTCTTAATGCCAGAATAAAACAGTGGGAAATTTAAGTTGGTCCCTTATTCAATATTTTACTCCTTTAAAATATTGTGTGCATCTCTTTCAGAAGAATTTTCTATCTGATCTGAGGACTACAAATGAATGGAGAAGCCCAGACATCCCTTACTTGTTGCTTGGATCATTTATGCTTTCAATAGAAACCAGGTATAACCAATACCCCAAAGACAGAATGTGATCCTTCACATAATATGTTTGTAAAGCATGGTGATTCACATACATCAATATCACAAAAACCCAACCATTTTGATACCCTTCAGTATAATTAGCTGAATTATCTTTAATGTGTCTCAAGGTTATCGTACTTTAGAAAGCTGTACAAATACTTGAAAGGAGAACCAAACCTGATGAATGATACCTATGTGTAGACAGGTGCTTGTGAGCTGGATGTCTGAATTCCAACAAAAGTCAATGAATACCTGTCCAGTGCTGTCACTGGAGTATGGAGAGAAACTTGGCATGCCCAGATTTAGACACCTATATGTGGTAAGCCAAACCACTTTTCAGGTGACTAACCATATTGTCTAGTGGCTCAATTACATTTCCTTACTGGAGGAGTCCAACACCATTTTAAAATTCCCATATTCTTCTGGGGAAGCAGCTGAAGCCCAAGCAGGCACTTCAGAACCTCTCCGTGACCCATACACAGATATTTAGCATCATCTGAGTAAAATCCAAGACCTTCATCAACTACAGAGTTCTTAGCTACCTTGTTGACAACTGAGAATCTTGTACTATGTCCACCATACTATTATAGAACTAATATTAGATAAATAAATGTAGTTGTGAAATGAATTCCATTCAAGAGACACAGTCCAGCTTCCTAGCCACTGGCATCTAGTATTGTTTTAGATCACCTGTATCATCCTACTTAGCCTTCAGATTTCTACACAATCTTTGCTTGCAAGCAGTACTAAGTCTTCTTTGTAACAACTGAATGGTGGATGGTAAGTGGTGTACATTCAGACAAGCTGTCCATTAGTCCAGCACAGCTGATGCAGCATAGTTTGCAAAGCCATTTGAAGCTATTTGCATTGGTTATTTGCCCTTAGAAATGTTAGTGAAGTCTCCTCCAAGTGTTACTTACCATAATTGATCCAACCACAGGACCCTTGATCACCCACCACAAGGCAGTGTTGTCATTCATGTCCCAGCAGCTGCAGCAGTTCATTAAAAGAATGGGGTAGGAAAAGGGAAGGAAAGAGAAAGTTATAACAAAAATGTTAATAAACTTACAATAAATTTTAAGGGGTCAGAGAGCGGGAGATTAGTCTTGTAGCTAAATAATTTTATTTAAAGGTAGTAGTTCTTTAGTCTGTCCCAGCTTTCTTTCACAGCCTTTACCCACATTATCTGAAAGAAAAATAAGTATTTTTATGGCAATTTAAATGGTACCTCTTACTAAACAGTTTAGACATTTTGGAAAATGCCTTTATCTGTGAAATTGTCCCTTTAAGCTAACATCTCTGAGGAAGGGAAAAAAAGACAGGGACACCTCAAAGGTTAAGAGAAGGTTATTCCAAAGTTTTGTGTCTCAGATACTTTTCCAGAGTTAACAGATATAAATGTTGGTTCCTGACCCTGGCATAAGGATTTTTACACGTATCTAGTATACCAGAATGTACTAGAGACTGGTTGTATCCACATGAAAGAATTAATGTCCAGTACAGGGCTGCAAGTACTACCAAGGAGAGAGGATTCATCTGAGAAGGTTCAACTCCTGGACAACAGCTGGGGTCAGCCCCTTTTTTAAGCTGTCAGGGTGAGTGATAGTGAATATAATGCCATTTCTACCTCAGCATTTAAAATCTTTCTCTGGATCCAGCAAAGTATTCTGCAGAAGTTTATTCCATATAGATGCATTTGGACATTCATTTGTAGAGAAAGATAATTACATGATCTATAAACATAATGTATTTTAACATTAACATGTATTTTTAAAGCTAGGAAAAAAAAAGGATGAAAAAAATCTCTCCTGTCACACCACAACCATCCTGCTACACTATTTTAAGTCATTAAGAATTTGATTGTCAGTTAAAATTTTCTTTTATTTGTCTCTGCTTTCTTCCCCCTATGCTTCCCTCTCAAAAACATAAAATCACAGAAAAATATCTACTTTGTTCCTGCACTTCCAAGAAGGAGGGTCTCCCTCTGCCTAGGACAACAGCCAGAAGTCCCAGTAGCAGTTGTCATGATACATTTCTTAGATGCCAAGAAAAGAGCATTTTGAAAAATTTGAAAGAGCATACAGGAATAAAACACTCTCGATCTTAAAAGATCTTAATGGAACTTCTGTGACATTTAAGTAGTAGTCTCATAACATCTGGGGGGAAAGTGTAAATGGAACTGTATACTCGTGTAAATGTGAGGAGGCAGAGCTAAAATTCCATCATCCAGGTACATTGTGAGAGAAATCTCAAACAGGTGAGTGACGTCTGGTTTAGAAATTTCAGTTGAACTTATATTTTCAGTTGAACAATATATTATTAAATTTCAGTTGAGCAGTATCTTACTGGATTCCCATAAAACCAACAATAAGAGTGTGTGTGGTGCAGCTGGTGAGAAGAGAGAAAATTTAGAGACATGGTGTAAAATTTGCACAGAATTACATACTTCAGTCAACAAAGCCTAGAAACTTGAAATCCCCCCAGACCTATGGGGATAATGGCTGAGGTTTTCAAATGAAAAGCAATATTTCTGAGCTACCTCACTTTAGATGCCCAACTTAAAATATTTGAAAGGGGACAAATGTTACTTACATACAGTATGTATGTTCTATGATTCTATGTTGATGACTTTTCAGTTATCAACAATTGCATGCCACAAAAGCACCTAAACTCACCACCTATATTCTAAATTATTTGCACGCATTTATAAATTAGGTGTCTTCTTTGGGAAATTATCCACTATTTGCAGAGCTCAACCTCTTTAAGATGCACATTAAATCTACCCTGAAAGTCTTCAGTGTGTTGACCAATATTGGAAGAATCTGTGCAAATTCTAACATTAATCTAGCTGTACAAATAGACACTGATGTATGGCAATTTGTCTATGCAGAAATGAGAAATGAGAATTACCTCTTCCAGTTCCAGTCATCTGTATTGAAGACATCTACAGCCCAGACAATTATCCCAGGCTCTGGCTGGGACAAAGAGACACTTGGAGGTTTTTTTCCACACTCATGTATATTAAATTTGCACTCTGGGGTGATACATCATCCCCTACAAATCCCTATTGTTCTTAGACTTATGCTTCTCCTTTTACATGATGTGTCCCCAGCACGCTTAATTTCCAATGCCTACTTTGTAGATGTCAACAATGAATCAGAACAAGCCCACACAAAGGTTTTTTTTCAAGGACTTTTTTGTCCAGCCCCCGTGACAGCTATAGGATGGATGTGGTGGAAGAAACACCATCTTCTCCTCAGGTGAACATGACCAGAAGGAAAAAAAACATTGCACAACAGAACAGTCTGTAGTATCAGCTAACAAGCTGTACTATCTAAAGAGGCTCCCCGATTTCTTTCAAATGCATTGCTACAGTGGCGATCAGACACACAGGACTCTTTTTCATGATGAATGAAGGGAAGAGAGCCAGTGGGCAGGTGAAGGGATGTGATTTCCACTTGAAAAGGCCAGGGTCTGACCTCTGGTACATCTCTGGTGTACATCTGGAATAACTCCATCTAATTCAGCAGCACAGGTTTGAATAAACTGACAGTTGCATTTCTCTGCACAAACCTATCCTGTCAGTGACACGAATCAGGAGCTGAAGTCAAGGAAGCTCTGCCAGGTTTATAAGGAGCAAGCAGGAGGAGACTCAGACACAGTCTGTATTTTAGTCCATGCCTCTGCGACTCTGGTTTCCCAGTTCAGTAATTTCTGCAGTGTTTTTAGGCTCATGCTGGCTTTCCCCCCTCCCCCAGAACAATGCTTGCTGATTTTTAAAAAGTAACCACTGAGACTCTCAGCAAGAATATGTCTAAATCTGTTGCATGCGAAATAGCTTCTCTAACTAAAAGAAAGGAGTGGGCTTTTTTTGCTGTTTTGTTTTTTTTCTTGTTCTTCCTTCTGCAAGACATTCTCCCTACCCTCAAATCCAAAGACTGTTTGGACTACTAAGATAAATTAATACACTTAAGACCAGTGTTGTAATCATAATAATGACACAGCAGGGTGTTCTGGCTTGCTTTGCATGGAAATAAATGATTCAATTTGTATTAATGTAAAAATAGAACACTGGGTCAAAGCACTAGCAACCCCAGTGGAGGAAGGGCTTTATGTGCTTTCCAAAAAAAACATGAAAGACAAGGATGAAGAAACCTGATGAAACAGTGAGTCTCTGCAAATTCTGAATCCAGGTACCTCTATCATAAGGTGAAATTCAAACATAAGCCTAAGTCTCTCAAAAATGTGACTTGGAAGATAAAGATGCCTTTCATTCAGATCAAGGCTTTTAAAGAACCGCTGCTGGATTTTAAAAAATTTATTCAATCATCTCCCTCATTCCCAGCATTTTTCTAACATTTCACCAAGTTCAAACATAGCTGTCATGAAAAAAAGCATTGCTAAGCTTGTGTTTTCACATGTCCATTCCTACAAGCTATATATGCTGCTCTATCGGACCAATCTATGGTCTACTGAGATGTGCAGGACCACCTCTGGGACCAGCTTTTCCTTCTTATCCTTTTTTAAAAAATATGGGATATTTGCAGGATTTTTCCTTACCAGAACAGACCGATTGGGTGGAATCCATCCCTTGAATTCTTTCTGAAATTATTCCATTTCCTCTTTTTCTTTTTTTCCACACAGAAGACAGGATACAGATTTTTGTCTCATCCTTACTCATTTCATTCACCAGGTTTGTTGAAAAAACTCTTTAAGGGAAAGCTAAACTCCTAATTGCCTTTGTAAATCAAAGCTCAGCAATGTCTTGTGCAGATTTCACTCATCAGAGTAATTTCTATCTCATCCTTGCCATCGTGCTGAATGCACATGAAATGATTTTCCACTCAGCAATACCTACCCAGTATCATCAAAGTGAAGTCTCAGCACTGCCCAGACAGTGACACAAATTGTTGGGGTACCTGCAGAAGACAAGATGCTGATATCATTAGCAGTCTAGACACATTTAGTATTCAGCAAAGAGCATTTTTTGCAACCTCTCCACTGACATTTTATTTTTGATAGCACTAGTGAATGAAAAAAATGCAATTCATAACATTCATTTAGAGCTCTAGAAACATCTGTTTCAGTCAGAGGATCAGTTGGTCTTGGTGGGATTGCAGAAGCAAAACTGATAACAGGAAATATTTATGTTGTTTCAAGTTATTATTGCTCAAAGTTGTTGCACTGCATCTTGTTGCATGAATAGTAAACCATAGTCTGTACAAAATAAAAGCAGTGACATCAGCTTCCATGTCAAGAGTTACTGTAATTATGAAATAATTGCAGAGTGGCAGATGTTAAGCTGTAATGGCATTATTGTATTCTTTGTATTATTATTTTTTTTTGTTGTAAATGCTTTGCATATATTGCATTTTCTCTGGTATTGTGTAAATAAATTATTTTGCTTTGCTTATTCTACCAAAACAAATCAGTAGAGGATAGTTTTCCTTTCCTCACAGGAATATTTATTTCTCTTTTTCAGGGAAAAAAAAAGGGCAAAACAGACACCAAAAAGAGAATATAGGGAGCAAGAATTTAATTTCTACTTCAGACATTTCTTTACTCTTTAAAAGATGCACGTAAAATACAAATTAACTCAAACCAGTAAGAATCCACTGAGAAACCTGGACTTATTTTCCTTTCTAAAACACTAGAAGTGGGGTTTTCAGTGGAAATTTTTATAAAACAATGCAATTTTGAAAGACAACTCTGGGTAAGCTGGATCTACATTTTATGGAAAATAAAATCGTTGGCTAGGAAACTGCCTACATCTATTCAGGCACCACTGTAAAGATGAAGTGCTAAAACACAAACAAAGACCTTGAAAACCCTAGCTTGCAGCAGTGAATGAGAGTGTCATAAATTGACAGGAACAATTATGTTTCATACATTTTGAAAGGCTGTGTTGATGTCACATTAATTAGTCATTCAACTGATCCACTTAAGTGAGTCTCTGTCAAATCTCATATTCCCACTATCAGAAATAAAAATATCCCTGTTAGACCTATGTGACTGATAAAGCCCTCCTCCTTTAAAAAAGCACACAGAGCAATATTTGAAAGGAAAATGAGAGGAAGAAATAAGATGACAGTCGTTGGGGAAAAGAAATCATGCCTATTCAGTTTAAACTGAAGTCCGCTTTTCTCATATGAGACTACCTAGAAAACATTGAGATCTTTGTGCACTTAACAGTTGCACAACAATAAAAATAGTGTTTAAATATCAAACATGGGTCTTGTGCTAGCTAGTTTGCACTGATTTGCACTATATAGAATAGTGTTGCAAATCTGAAAGATGGGAAGGAGGCAGAGCTAGACTAAATATGTTATAAAAATATAGTTTAAAAAGCACATTCTAGATCAGTTTGGAGTTTTAAACCATTTGCTATATAAATATACATACACTCACATTCATTTTCTTTACATCAAAATGTATATATGTATCTTCAGCACCTTCTTTTCTGCTTCTGAGTATCATTAGAAAACAGGAAGCCTCAAGGCTGAGTAGAGAGCTATTCTTGCTGACTGTGCTTCTGCCCTGAGTAAGGAGCAGGCATTAGGAGAGATCTCAGGAAGACAGCAGTCTATCCAGAGAATTTACAAGCATATTGCATATTTAAGAGGAAAATATTATCTAGATCAACATAGCCATATGGATTTCTCATTAATCAAACGAGGACACTGATGTGCTCAGCACATTTTAAGAAACAGATAAGGAACCAGGTGCTGCAAAATTCTGAGCTCTTGCTTATTGTTGCTCCCATACAAATCCTTCCCCACCAGCTCTGAGCTGGGGGGCTGCTTTTGCCCTACAAACTTGCACCCAGAGTCTGGAAGTTTAAGGTAAGTGGTTTGTATGTAGACTTTACTCATAAGCATACAGGATTATTTTCATATTATTTCAGAAGTATGTTTAAGTATAAAAAATGAGTATAAACTTCTTAGATTACATTTAAAATGAATGCATTCTACATTCATTATTTGACTTCTGCACAGAAATGTCAACAAAGAACTGTTTGATTTAATATGTTACAGGATTCCATTTATCTTCAGAAGGCCAGAATGAAAAATAATTACACTGGTTATCATCGTGCAGCTGGCCTTTCTGAAACAAATCTCATTTCTTCACACTGCAAGCTTCAATTTCCCATTCAGGTAGGATAAGCATATGTGGATATCCTTTGGATAAATTTTCAATTTAGCTATTACTGGAAAAAAGGTACAGATTAAGTTTTAGAAAATGGACTAGATAGCATTGCAGATTTGATTAAGATGAAGAACTTGGCATCGAGATCATATCTTGTAGAAGGAAATTATCAGTTGTGGACTACATCTCTGGAAGAGATGTAGTGTCCTCCAGATTTCAATTCAATTCTATTGAGACAAAAAAAAGCACAGGTTGGTTTGGTCTGCAGTGGTCCTTCTATACAAAGACTAAAAGTATCTTTTGAAACTACATGTGGAAATATTAGATGGCTCATGGAGTTGTCTTGCACACTGAGATGCATTTTAGACAAGAAATGTCACATACCCCAGCCAATAATAGTGTACCAGTAGAAATATCTCCTCTCTGGAAAAAAGGTTTCAACTAATAAAGTAAAAAGGTACAATCCCTCAATGAAAAGCCAGAAGTAGTTGGACATGACACAGTAGTGAAAGAACACCATCACTGCTTTGCATTCCACCTGCAGAGAATCAAGAAAAACAAAGTTATTTCCATGTTGTTTCCACCTAACAGACAGAAAAAAATGCTTTCAACCTCTCCAAATCTCTTAGGTGAAAGGAACACAGCTGGGACTAATATTATATACTTTTAATAGTAAAGTTTTAAAAGCATGAGAAGAATGTGAGGTTCCACTTAGACAGCAAAGCTTGAAAGGGCAGGTAGCCAATTTTAGCAGTGGGAGATGGTCAATGAGTGTTTGCAGACTGCTTGAGAATGTCTTGCGTTGGTGGGAGTTCACACTGTCAGTGTACACTAATTGTTAGATTTAAGCCCCTTTCCAAGGATTAAGTGCAGAGAAGAAAAGAATCCAGTTGTGTATTGAGAAACCTAATGAAGGATGTGAAATGGCAGGATGACTGTGGAAAGCCCTGAGAGTGGGATCGGAAAGGATGCACCCTCCTGTGTGCAGTTGAGAATTGAACTTCCTTGCCATTTGAGGGTGTTGTCACTCAGGGACAGAAAATGAAAGTAAGCGTAAATGTAAAGAAAGCAGAGTGATTTACAGTAAAAAATGACAGAAGCTTTCATTCATTTACTGTGGGAGGAAAGCAGAGGACAAAAGAGAAAAAAAGAAAAAAGAAGGAACTGGGGTTGTTTGGCCTGGAGAAAAGGAGGCCCGGGGAGACAACATTATTTATCTCTACAATTACCTGAAAGGAGGTTGTAGAGAGGTGGGGCTTGGTTTCAGTTCCAAGAATGGCCTCAGTTTGTGCCGGGGAAGGTTTAGATTGGATATTAGGAAGAAAATCTTCACTGAAAGGGTTGTCGAGCTTTGGAACAGGCTGCCCAGGGAAGTGGTTGAGTCACCATCCCTGCAGCTAATACATATACACTTGTATATGTGACACTTCGGGCATGGTTTAGTGGTGGACTTGGCAGTACTAGGTTAATGGTTGGACTTGATGATTTTAAAGGTCTTTTCCAATCTAAATGTTCTATGATTCTGTGTTTCAGTGATAAAAGCCTTAGATGAAAACTGAGTTCTACCCTGACTCTGTGAGAGTACGACATACTTGCTTTTCCAGTATTGCATCCCAGTGAAACATCATTAGCCCTACAAAAGTAGGACTTTTCAATAAATCACAGCAGAATCAGGGTATAAACTGAAACTCCTGCCTGGGGCAGTAGGCAGCTGACAATTTTGACTGGTTCCCATTTGCCCTCCATCCTCTGGGTCAAAGCTACAACCAACATGTTGAAACCATCAGAACTGAGTTTCTTCATGGAAACTGTACCAGGGCTGAAGATCTGGTCATTAGATGGCTTATTTTAACGTGTTCAAAACAAAACAAGCAGATGCCACTATTAGAAAAGCAGTATGAACAAGCTACACATCTAACAGGGCTTCAGCTTTATCATGGAGAAGAATTAAAACCAAATCTAGTTTCAGTGACAAAGAAAAGGGTGATTAAGAAACTACACAGCTGCATTTTCCTTGTGGAAATGACTCATAGGGAATTTAGCTCATAACTGTATGGATAAAGGAGATCTCAGTTTGGGAATTCACTGCAATTTTATCACAATTACACCCAATGAGCTGACTTATCAAATCAAATACTAGCCTTAAATGTGAAAGGAATTGGAATTTACATGTAATATAGAGCTAAGCGCATCTGTGAAAGAGACTGCTTTCCATGAAACCGCACACTTTTAACACATAGATAATACCAATGATTTTTTTGAGATTGTGACCCTAAGAGGTATTTGCTATGACTGAATGGTCACCCTACTGACATATAGCTCTGGCTGACATCCAGAACAAATGAGGCTCTAGAGAAAAACCAGACCTTCAGATGAAGGAAATTGCTTGTGTCTGCTCACATCCCACCTATTACTATGTAGATCTGTGAAAGGGAGAAGCAACCTGAGTATAGTCAGAAATCAAAACCTGTAGATTTGTTCTGAAGGATGGAATGCTGGATGTTAATGACATCATGAGACAATAAAATCCACAGTTTTGCTGTAAACCAGGAGGGAAATTTACCACTAATTACCTCTTCTCCCAATAGCTTCTCAGTTTATGATACCCAACAGACTGCTGCCTGCCTATTTTTTTGTTACTTCATGCTGAAAAGAATAAAGGAAAAAGGCTTTGGCTTCGGTTTTACTTACTGTTGAGATGAAACAGTGGTTGCCATCCTGTTCAGCATACAGAACACCATCTTTAATGAATACAGATATTGCACGAAGGATGAATGAAACAAAGAGGTTCATGTGGATAAAATTTCGAGTGCAGTGAAGCTTCCTAGAGAAGATAGAACAAAGGGAGAGGAAAAGAACAGGGAGGGAAAAAAAAATAAATTTTCTTTCATGGAAATAGCACACTAGGCCAGTCTGCACACATGGCCAGAACATCTTGGCACTAAGAACAGCAACATCTGAAAAGCAGGACTGTCGACAGTACTGATACTAAACCTGACCAAGAGTAGTATTTGGAGATTTTCCTGCAAAGGCATGCAGGTTAGAATAAAATATAGCCAGCCCAATGCAGCTTCTGCAGTTGCATTTACAGTCTACTAAAATGTGACTACTAGATTGTGTCCAAGCTGGGATAACCACTCTATTAAGTTGTCTCCCTCTTATTCTGCATCTGGTGAGATAAAAGCTCAAACATTGTTTTGGGCAGATGATCTCCCGTTTCTTTCCTCCAGTGACTGAACAACTCATGTCTTATGTCCTGACTCACCTGAAACGACACAGGATAACCATGGCAGTGGTTAAGGAAACAAGAGAAGTGCTGTATCCCACAGTATACAGAGCCTTCACAGATAGATAGTAGTAATCCTTGGGAGGCAAAGAACACACGATTAAACAGTTCATCTATGGTCACATCTTCTTTAGCCTGTCAATGTGCAGTGGGAACCATAGGCAGGACTTGTTTCTTGAACAGCCTGGTTGTTTTCTCCTCTTGGTTCACCTGAGATCTTACTTCATATTAGAGCCTTGCTCTATGCCTGGCATGCCCTTGGGTCTGCATACCATGAAGCTTATTTCTCAGGGAGCTAGCAAAGGATGTCTACGTTCCTTTGACCACTCTGCATGCATCTTCAGAAAAAAAAACTAGTTGACTAAGGGATTCTTTAGTCAATAAGGGAGGAACTGGAGGCTAATCCATGCTTCTAGAAGTTAAAAGCTGTATCAACAGTAAACACTCATATTCTGAAAATATTCAATACAGGAATAGGAAGAATCTCACTTCTCACATTTTTATGCTTATGAATACCTGATTATTTCATTCTAATCACCATCAAATCAGAACATGAGCATAGGCTGGACAAAAACCAGCCTGTTGCTTCCCCCCCCCCCCCCTTCATTTGTTTTTTATTATAAGATTCATTCTCACCTGGTTATCTGACTCTGTTTCATTTTCATCAAAGCCACAGGCATCATAATAATGAGGAAAAGGTTCAGACCAGCCATCTTCGGTGCAATTTCTGCTGATGTCCCCTATGCCAAGTACATTTGGGAATGTGACATTGCTGAAGCAAACTGCAGTACACATCCTCCCTCCCTTTTGGTACATGACCAAATCAAAACCCACAGTACTACTGGGGGTACTATTTATCCGGCTAGCCATAGAAGACTTTAATGGCATCTTGAAAGTTCAATGACATTTCTAATGACCCAGTTCTACAATAGGGACCTACAGATGTTTACTACTACAACTGGTCACAAGAGAGAAAAAAAGGTTTAACCAGTATAGTCAGTGACTCCAAGACATCGAAGACCTCATTCTCAAGTGGGTACTTAAAACAGTGGTCAGCTAAATGTGCATTTCTCTCCATTGACTCTGAAAGGCATCCAGAGAATACAGATTTGATGTAAACATCTACACTTCAGATGGCCAAAGGTTAGGTCCAGTACTTAAATATAAACACTTTGTGCTATTAAAGATAATCTATATATAAGACATATGCAATGAACTGGCAAAAATACACAAGGCTAACATGATTTTTTGGAGCGGCTGCTGAAAGCCAGGCAGGAAATTATGGGATATGTAAAATAGCTATTATATGTCTATGATGAGGCAGCTGGATTGTTCTCCTATACTCAGATAACATGTATCCCACTCATTTATTTTCAAGACTAGGCTCTGATCTAAGTGACTTTGTGAGAAGTGTTTCTAGGGAAACAAAGGAAAGATGGAGTGGGAATTTTTTCCATCTCTGTCTAAATAGCAAAATGTTCATTTACATCTCCAGATGTCCAGTGTGATTTCAGTTCACAATTTTAAACCTGCTTCAGAGCTTCTCACATTTCCCTGTTCCAAGCCCAGTTTATAAACTTACTCTGAAACAAGTGATTTTAAAGACACTCAATGCTGGCTCAAAGAAAACCTCATTCTCTTTTTCTATCTTTTTACCCTAATTGCTTGGCTAATCTCATTTAAGGACTAGCTCCTAAATGGCTTTCACTAACACAGTTAAAAGATTTAAAACTGTATCAGAAAGCAAGAGCTGGGGGTAGAAAAGGAAAGTGTCTCTTGACACTCACTTTCCTACTGAGGCTGCCTCAGGTGGGATGGCCTCCATGGTGCTCTTTCTAAGCACCATTATTCTTTCCAGAGCTCAGTGACCTGGTTGAAAAATTAAAGATGGGCTGCTGCCTGCACTTGCTACTCTCCAGCACAACAGAACAGTTTCCATTTATTGAATTATTCCACTTCTTGGAGTTTGAGCTGTACCATGACCAAAACTGATGGAAATTTCCAAGGTGTTTTGTTGCTTGGTTTTGTGTTTCTTTTAAAGTTGTGCAACTTCACATTCTTAGAGCAGTTTAGTCAAATAGCTCATAACACTAGCAATGACCTTATTTTCAGAGAATTTGCTTGCCATCCATGCAGCAGAATATATCTATTTAATCACAGCATTCATTTAACAGCAGTGCATTACTTCGAAAATTCTAGTAAATTACTCTTGCACATTCATTGCTAGTTTTTTATGGAAAATAAGCACTGAATCACGGTGTTGACTTTCTTTAACATTATTCAGTAATTATTGTTAAATGGGTAAATATAATTTATAACAACACACTTGCTAGTTTTCAAGGCTCAATAGTGGATGAATACATTTTCATAATACTGCTAAAAGTAACGTACCAGAAAATGTGTCACCATAATTAGAACTGATTTATAAAATAATACCTAAATGGAAGGATAAAAGCTTGGAGCTTCCATCTTAACAGAGTTGAAATAAAAAAAGAAACATTCCATGGTTCTGTTTCTTACCTAGGGGAGACTGGGCTGTGCTTTCCAGCAGGTCATAATCACCTATAAAAGTGGAAATCTGGCATGAAATTGTTTTGATTGTGTTTTTTATTAGGACTCAAACTGGTCTCTGCAGAAATCAGTGAATAGAATCCAACTGATTTTGTTTGCATCAGGCCCAAAGGCAGTATATACTCAATTCTGTATTTTTAGAAACTAAACACACTTTTACTTGTGACTTTAAATCAACACTGAACCTTTAAAACTAGAAAATTTCTATTGCAAACTGCAAGCACATAGCTAAAAACACATACAATCAAACTAGGACAAATTTTATTGTAAAACTAGTGAAGTCAAATATTGTACCTTTAGAAATTTAAATTTTTAATCCATAGATATTTAAGTATGATCAGTTTTCACAGAATTAATGAAAAATAATTTTCATCTATTAATTACAAAAAGCAGTAATTAATTGCTTTTAAGGAAGATAGTTTAATTTTTTTATTTTGGGTTAAATCACATTGTTTTCTAGGAATTTATCAGATTTTTACTTTCACTTATCAGAGTGTTACAAAGACCTACAGGTATTCATCATCATAATGGCTTATACCCAACTTTTCAATAATTTGATATTACCATGTGCTCTACATGCTATCTTTGAGAAGAAAGGTACATAAGAGGTAGTCAGCACAACTGGTTCTTACCTGCATGGGTTTGACCCAGATTATCTACTTCCCAACCTGAAATGAGAGGAATAATTACTTTTATTTTGATAATAGTTTGCGATTTGATTTTGATAATAATTTGCTTCCTATTAGAGGAATGGATGTAGCACAGCTTAGAGAAGAACTGCAAAAAAAAATTTTGTTTAAATTCTTTTTCAAAATCAGTATTGTACATTTATGGTTGGAAAGCGTTTTTCAGAAGATGGTCAATTGCAATGTACTGCTAGATTTCTGGATATTATGGATTTTCATTAAACTCTAGGAAGAATATGAAAATAGATGAAGCAGCTTTTTTTTGGTTGGTTTAGGGTTTTTTTTTAGAGGAGAGGGAAGGTTCTGAAATAAGAAAGACCCACACATTTCCAAAATACTGTGCTGAAATCCACGGCGATCTGTGTGCCACAAATACAAATGGTACAATGGGAAATGAATAAACTTTAGATTTGCATAAAAAAAAAAATCCCTCCCAAAATAAATTCTTGGGATTATCTCAAACCAAACTCCCACCCACCCTACTAAATAATTAACCTGAACTTCACGCCAGTCAGACTTTCCCGAATCCTCAGTGGAGCACGGGCTCAAACTCGGCGCTGGGCAAGCATAAAGAGCAGCTGCCTAAAGCCACCAGGTGGTGGTGTTGCATCGTGCATGGAGACGAGCCTGACAGCTGCCTTGAAAAACCCCTGCCAGGGGCCCACGACCAGGGAAAAAAATGCTTCCGACTTGACCGCTACGGCAGGTTAAATGTTTACATTAGCTTAGCGCTGTATCCTCTGGAGTAACCACAGGGCTTCAGGTTCTTCTTCTTTAACCCTGAACACATGGTCAAATCTTAACTAGGGACTGGAAAAACAATTCATCAATTTGTACAAGACAGTTTTTATTAAAAGTAAAATCCAATCAAAGATTGATCTTTGATTCTATGGGAAAGGAAAAAGAGAGCACCTAAGGAAACAAAATAGTAAAGGGGGACTTTTGAGTACATTACTGCATAATATGCATTTTATATTTTATACTTACTCAAATACCTTGTTACATAATAAATTTAAATTCATTGATTTCTCTCCTCTAAATAAACCATCTTTTTGATCTTCTAAGATAGAAAACAGTGAATTTAATGTGAAGATGAAGGTGTGAGTCTAGAAAACTAAGCTGAAGCCTCAGGCAGGCTGTACTGTGTCTTTGAATTGATATATTCAACATCAAACCTACACATTCAACCCACTAGTTACTCTGGAAGGTTAATACTGAAAGCCATGAACATCCTTGGTCTCCTGGCTTCTCTGCCCAACTGCAGCTCTTTTCAGGGTTTTACATGTGAGAATTCTTGGATGTTTACAAATATTAGGTAAGTCTACTTATTCTAGAGAGAAGTCATCAGTGTTTGGAGTAAATGTTTTCCAGCAAAGATTGTTCAACCTGATGCATCGGACTAAACTACCAGATGCTTCAGAAGCACTATTACTGTGCTCCAGATTCTTGGCAGAATGACAGGGATGCCTCTGCAGAATATTTTGGACAAACCTGTTTGTTAATCAACAGTGGTGTAGCTCAGATACAGATGACTATGTTGCTAAAATCTGAATTCAGAATACCAACTTTAGGATATTCTGTGAGAATTTTTAGCTGTGGTTATATTAGGCAATTAGAAGATCAAAGAGCAAACCACTATTCTTTTATCACTGTCTTTCATAACCTGCTGCCAGTCAAATCAGGAGGTCATAACTGAACTGCTTGCTTACATGAGGTCACCTCACTCAGTAGCCTGTATCTTGCAACAACCCACAGAAGAAGGCTAAGAAGCTGTGAGAAAAACTCAAAAAACCCCTTCTCTGAATCATAAAAATCCAGTTTTAGTGTATCAGTTGCACAGTGTGGCTTAAATCCTGAAATGTGATATTGCAAACTTTCCAGAATTCCTGTTGGAGAAAGACCAGTCTAATATTACGCAGACTGAAGAACAATGTTCCTGGCACCGTGGCATATGACACTGATGGCTCAGAAAAAATATCTTTTTTTATCTCTAAATATTTTAAATTTAACTATTTTTCCCTATAATCTAAAAAGGAAGAAATATAAATTACCGTTATTTCACTTTATATATGGGTGGCAGTTAGTCATACTGATGTTAAAATATTAGACTGTAGTTCATTTTGAATTTTATGACATCTGTATTAAAGGTTAAAACATCATATTAATGTAGTTTTGTGAAGAGGCATTTTATTTTTTTTTTAATATACCCAAATTATTACTGCATTTTAACTGTGTTTGGCCATTATGAAGAGATTCATGTTTTTGACAACGTTAATTTTCTGATTGCTGTAGGAGGAAACTTGACTTTTATTAGCATGTTTGTCTACATCTGAGTCCTTGCTAATTTGCTGAAGAAAGTTCCAGTACAACCTTTTGCTATACAAGCTTTTAGGCTTGATCCATCAACCTAATTTTCACTAATAAGTTAAGCTACTGGAAAGTCAATTAGATTTACGTAGAACATTATGCCCTGAAGTACAGCTAAAAGTCAGAGTTTGTCTAATGAGTGTTGGGATGACATGCACATATACACAATTATATTTCTGTGGGTATGCACATATATATATATATTTATGTATGTAAGCACACAATGAGCTTACATACATACATTACAGCCACCATCTGGTTTTAAATTCTCACACACTGCTGCTGCCCTTCTCTCTGACACCATATGTTAATGTATCCTGCACCAGAATATGGATGTTTACATGACAGATAACTGTGCCAATGGCTATGTTTGCTCGCACGTATGAGAGTGCGATGGAGTTTGCACTCTACTACAGATTTCTAAATACATAGGGAGAAGGCCTGAGCTTGCATATGAGCTGGGCTTGTCAGAAGTCCAGATATGGGCACTCCCTCTTATTTTTCAAACATATACCCTAAAACTGCATTTTTGTGGGTTTTGTTTGTTTGTTTTCACCTGAGTGCCCATCTCACTCTAGAGAGACCTCAGCAAATTTACTCTGCGGTCAATGACATAATGGGCCAAATTGTAGGGCACCTCACTTTCATAAGTCCTCTCATTGCCTTACCTTTAGGACATAACAACAGATTCATGTGTTAGACTTGATTAACAAAGCAAAGACAATTATATAACAGGCTACATGAAATACATTATTATCAAAGAAATGAAAATAAATACACTTTTCATCTGCATTTTGACTGGAAACCCATTTTTCGGGGGTTTAATTAGAGGATTACATTCATGACATACATGAATGACACCTGTGCTCCTCACATGCAGTTAAAATAACAGCACAGCCCAAACTCCAGAAAGATGGACCCAACAACAGTTATTAAACTGTAACTTAGAACACCATTTATTAAATTAATAATTATACGCATTAGTCAATAAACTTCTGTGGAAGCTAATGTTATCCTTGACAAAGGATGGCTTATTCACTATATTGAGAGTGTTATTCACTATTTGACCAGACTGAATAGGCAAGTGTCATGCTTTGGGAAGTAAAGCATACCTTCCATTAGTGCTTTAACTGGCATAATTAATTAGATGTTATTTGCAGTACTACTTAGAGATGCTAGAGAAGATCCATCAGAATGTTGAACTGTTAATTCCAAAGACAAAACAGAGAAATCAAACACAGAAAATATTTCTTGTTTCTATTTTCTACAGAAAGAGGTGAAAGGGTTTTGGAGGGAAAAGTCAAAGGACTTGCCAATGGCTTCCCACAGTTAGTGGCAGAGACCCAGACCTTCCATCCCCTTTTCTTCCACATTTATCAGACTTTTTAGCTTGGTTTCATTTGCTGGGTCCCAGAAAACATAACTACCTCCTTACTGTCCTCCAACTGATGAGAAATTTGATGCAAGCAATTGTTGCTTCTGATTTAAAGTGAACAGGTCTCACAAAACTAAAGCCAAGAAACAGCCTGTGTATGATGCGCTTCGGAGCTCAGTGCAGCCTTTTAGCTCTTCTGCTTCATGCCAAATCTGTGCTGGCTGCTTTAAGTGTCAGCTGGCATGGCAACTGCTTTATCTCCCATAGGTTTGTTTATCTGAACACAAGTTGCATTTAACCCTTTTGTTCCAGCATTTGTCCCTTATTAGTGTCAGGGGGGGGCAGAATGAAAGGCTTTCAGGAACTATCCTATCCTGAAATGACTTGACCACCCTTTTCGCTTATTCCTGTTGCTCCCATCTCTGTATTATGGGCTGTAGGACTGGAGCGGGTAATCCTCCAAATGATTTTATTTTGACATTGAAATCAATGTGCAAAGCCTGCACTGTTATTTCTGTATATTAATTCTGTTCCTTTTGAAAGGGCAGAGACTGGGGCAGAGAGAGGTTATGGAAAACATTTCCTACAGTCACTTGTTATCACGCTGTCCAGCTATGTGGATGATGAGCTGATTAAGCAGGAATTCGATTTTTTTTTCCTGTTTTATACAGCACTGATTAGAAGCTAAACATTTAATTTATAAATATGAAAAAAATCAGTGAGCTCTCATGCTCGACTCCACGGCATCCACCACATTGTGCCTCTTCCCTCCCTTCCCTATTGCTGCATGCTGCTCTTCTGTACCAGCAATCTGTTCAGCCTCCTGGCAAAGCCACAGTCAAGAACAGCAGTATACTTAACAGCTTTTCTGGGGCTTTCTGAGCTCCTGACACAGATACTACTTGTATTCTGTGCCTGCTGCTTTTAATGCCCTCTGCCCAGTCCTGTAGCTGGGCATGCACACTATCCAACCACCCTGATTCCTTCATTGCAGCTCTTTTTTGGGAGGGGAAAGTGATCCAGAATCAGCTGCTAGTCTTTACAATCTCATTAAACAGGATCTGTAGAAAGTGTCAGCCAGGCAAGGTTATAGAGCACATGGCCTTACAGGTTACCTTTTCCTATGCTAAGTTCTTCCCTTCACTATTTCCAGGTATTTTTGGTCTCTCCAGCCTCATGCTCCATAGAGAATACTTTAAACTACAAATTGAAAGCTGTTAGTTACTTGACATTTGCTGTA